ATTTTTTTTCTTTTGAGAAAACAGAGGAAGTGCATAACATTTTCCAGATCTGATTAGTCATTAGTGTCAGCAGGTCTTCTTTCAATGCTGCCTACAGAACCAGGAAAGTAGGGCAGCTTATATATAAACATTTAGGGTGGGAGTCTGCAGATGACTCACTGTTGCATGTAACGGTTACCTGAGACCACATTGTAATACTGTTGGCAACTCAGGCAAGCAAATGAAAAAGTTTGGGCACTTGTGGGCATTGCTTACTCTGTTTTTTCTGTTTGGTGCTGAGCAGATAGAGTACTGAAGGTTTTTAGGGCTTTTTTTTTTTTTTTTGCTGAACAAAAACATCTGCCTGCCACATACGAAAACAATGAGCTGAAAGTCAGCGTAGACCTCTGTAAAACAGAGGCGAGCTGCAGATTCAGGTGATAATGCTATAGGTCCCTTTTACATTAACACATTGTCATTTGATCTATTGTCAGCTTTAAAGCTGCTATAATCAATACTTTTATATTTGCAATGTATCAAATGACAATGTTTAATGTTAAAAGTGACCACACAGAATTACCATCTGCCTTTACATGTCCTTTTTTGGCTCATTGTCAGTCATGATTCACTCTCAATGCTCTCATCAGCGTTTTTTCCAGATGCAAGCTGCTGTTTTCAGCAAAAAAAAGCTCTAAGAACCCACTGTACGCTGCCTGGCCATCACCAAAAGGCAGAATTTCTGACTAGCCCTTAAACATAGCGGATTATTTAGCCTGTAAAGAGCCAGATATTGACTTCATGAGTTTGGAGTCTGCTGGATGTGTAAATAGGCAACCGTTTCCTATTATGTCCTCCATATCAACTTAACCGATTATATGTCTCTGTTGTATTTATAGCCCATTTCCACTGCCTCCAAGTGGAGACACACATGAGATTGATATTGATCTTCTCATCTTACTCTTGAAAGCCTAATGATTAAGAATATTTCCCAAAACATTGAACGACTCCTTTAAAGACCTGTGCAGCGCTGCATCTTTTCTCTCTCTTTCTCCCTCTTTCCTTGCTCACTGGTGTAAACAGTCACTCTCTAAAAGGCCAGTAATCTCTGCTCTGCCTCCTCTCATCTCCATGTAATGATCCTGCAGTGAAACAGGATCAGGAAGAAGGAGTTGGGAACAGTCCTCCAGGACCTCGAGATGGAAAATAACGGTTCATACAGCGTAGACATCCATTAAGTGGTTTGTTTCCTGAAAGACGCAGCAATCATCAGCCCCAAATAGCATCTTGTGTGTCTCTGCCAGGATATGCACATTTACACCAGTCGGACTGGGTCCAGGTACATGAAGATCCTCATTCAGCAGGATGTTGAAGCTCTAAGTAAAATTATACAGACCTGAAATAAATGGGTGTTTAATCAATTAGTCAGCCCGCAGAAAAAAATTCGACAACTATTTTGATTATTTATTAACCCTCCTGGTCAAAAATGCCAAAACATTTCCTAGTTCCAGCTTCTGTATGTTTAGGTTTTGGACTGTTGGTCGGTAAAAACAAACAATTTCATGATGTTAGGTTTGGCTTTGGGAAATTGTGATGCTTTTTTTTTTTTTTTTTTTTTTTTTTTTTTTTTGATGACTATTCTTTGTCAATTCTTAGACAAAGCCTTCTTCTGTTTTATTCTTGAAGATATTTTTCCACTTGTTTATGTGACAAAGACAGGTGAACAGTCCAGTTCCCTTTGACCCAGTTTTTGTACATACAAGCAGTATAGTTTGCAGAGCAGTAGATGTTGATGGATGAATGTGTATGTGTTTACACATGTACAACGTGCAGTGTACTGTATGTGCATCTGTCTGTGAATGTGCTGCAGGCATCTGTTTATACAGTGAATGTGTGGACATGCTTGCTTTTGCTGGATTTATATGCCGATAAGCATGCTCCCAGTCCTTCAAAGCTTTCATGCACCGGCACAATTCTCTGTTCTCCTAAATAATCACCCCGATCCCCAACTGCTGTATAGTGTCTCTGGCGTGCTCTTTAACCACAGACTGATACATTAATATGCTTCTGTTTAAGGAGCCTGACATCTCATCAGTTTTGGCCCCACAGCCTGCAGCACTTGGAGAAGACAGCTAGTGATTTGTGTCTATCTCTGCGGGGCTTAAGGTCTGCTAAGAGGACCATAAGAGGCAGGGTGGCATGCAGGAACAGAAGCAAGGGTGAGATTAGCAATATGGATTGAGACAGCAAGGGTGAGGACGATAGCAGAGCGTATGAGAATGCATGTCTGTTTGAAATGTTTCTGGCAAGGCTTTGTGATGGATAAGGTGTATGATAACCGCACGATGAGCACAAGAGATGTTTGTCATTGTGTTTGTTATTGTGTTCTATGCCAGTAAGCCTGGGATTCATTTTTACCTTGAGTATTGATTCAAATAACAAATTGTTGCCACCATAAGGCCTGTTTAAAGCCAAGGCAGTTAATGCTGTTGTGATTCTTGTCATGAAAGAAGGTCCCAAAAGGACACGGTTATTTTCAAAGCTTCTGAAACATTTATTGGATCCGCTGCCGCTTGCCTCTACTGATATCATGGCAAAAACCCCTAATAGATCTGTAGCAGGTTGCACCAGCTCTTCATAAACTCAAATTTAGCCAATAATACCTTGTGTTAGAGATATATGCATCACTGGAATGGAACTATATGCAACTGTAATTTTTGGAAGTTATGTTACAGCTTGTGATGCTATAGGGACTTCATGTTTACAAAGTTGATCATTTTTTATTGGACTGTGCCACAGATGTTTCCTGGCAACAAATTTGCACATTACTAAGATCTTTACTTGCTAAAATGTTCCTTAACTCCTAACCTCATTTAGTAAATTACTAGTTTAAATTATGCAGATGAGTACAGTGGGGGGAAAAAAGAAAAATTGACAAAGAGGTGGCATCAGGTCAAATTGTGAAATGTTTGGTTGGCCTTTTGCAATTGCTGTTGCAATAAGCTGTTTTAAAAAGGAAACATCCTGTAAAAGGAACACAACACTGCCTCTTATGTGTGTATTGTGGCCATGTGTGTGTCTTTGTAAGTATTATCATAATCAAACTGACCCTTCATGTATTAAGCCTGTGAAATCACTGAGAATCCAACAGTCATTCCCTCATGATCGGTTGCGCAATTCAAGAAAAATTCACACAACATTAAAAGTAACATGATTACTTCCTAAAAAGTCAGGAACATCTGGACCTTGTTTTGTTCTACTTTGGGTTGTAACCACTTCTGACACACCTAAGATGACAACACTTTTCCAGGATTGATGAAAACTGTTGTGCCACTGAGCTCAACATCTTAGACACATCATAAGATAATTGCTGTTGTTTTGGGTTTGCATAGACTTAACATCATCCTCTCTCTGTCTTTCTCATGGTGTATTTGTAGATCAATATCAATGTGACCACATCCGTGCGAGCTAGGGTATTGTCAGCCTCATGTCTGGTCCCTCTGGTAGTCTGGTTTGGCCTGGCTCTGGACTTGCTCCCAATGGCCCCTCTCACTCTGTCTCTTGCTTATTAGTGTTCTGTCCAGGCCCTAGCAACAGGGAAACATTTACACCAATGCACAAAAGCACTCAATCAGCACAGGCCATTAATTAGGCCACTGTTTGTTGGATATTTAACGGAGGAAATGGAGCATTGTTGATAGAGAAGAGGAGCAAGGTGACAAAGACGCTTCCTGGGCCAGCTGCTGCTTCTCTCTCTGCCCAGGATGAATAAGCAGCCAGCTGCTGCTGTCTGCAGTCTGTCATACCTTAAAGGTCAATGCAGAAAAAAGTTGTGGTTTTGTCATGTAGACTTGTCATCAACATCTATATTCAGGACACTTTGTACATCTGAAAATTAAATGTGTACTCTCAGTGAGTTTGTTTTATTGGTACAAAGAGACGGATGTTGATATTTGGTAAAGCCTAACATTAGAAAGATGAACCACAGTTGCAACTGACACTGATACTAAACACACAGTCATGTGTTCGCATCTGGTTAGAAGACCAAAGTGCCGACTGGTCCATTACGTTCTGCTCTTACAGAGGTTTGAATCAGGTTTGATTTGGCGCCATCCAGCAGACTAAATGTTTAATCTTGTGGGATACCAATTCACTGAAACTCTATTCAGTGAACAAGTTACCTGTGAATATTATTGATTAATATATGAACTTTATGACGAATCAATTGTTGTTTAATCTATATGTTTAATCTATATGTAAAAAATAATGACAAATGTTCACCACCATTTACCAGAGGCCAAAGCAATGTCTTCTGGTTGTTCATTTTTTCTGATGAATATGTCATCAGTTCAGTTCAGCTCAAGCTCTGTCAGGTTCAATGGGGACCGTTGGAGGACCACCATTTTCAAGTCTCCAGAGATGTTTGATTGGGCTCAAGTCAGGGCTCTGGCTGGGCCACTCAAGGATATTCACAGACTTGTCCCTAAGCCACTCCTGTGTTGACTTGGCTGTGTGCTTAGGGTCATTGTCCTGTTGAGGTCCTGAGCGCTCTAGACCAGGTTTTCATTAAGGTTATCTCTGTACTGTGCTCCGTCCTGCCACTGAAAAACTCCCCCACAGCATGATGCTGCCACCACCATGCTTCAACGCTGGGATGGTGATGAGCAGTGCCTGGTGTCCTCCAGACATTGAGGCCAAAAAATTGATTTTATCAGACCAGGGAATTTTATTTGTTTCAAAACAAAGGGCAAATCCCTTGCTGCAGCGTTCACTGTGACACTGCATGCTTATTTCTTTGAGCATGGTAACGGTTTTCATCAACTCCTCTCATCTCTCATTTGATCTGTGGTGGCTGGACACTTAGAGAACAATCCCTGGAGAGAAAAAAAAAATCAACCTGAAATACAGTGTTAAAAGTGAGGGGGCATGCTTCCAAATTACAGCCAAGGGCACAACTTTCTAGTATTTTCTTGACTTTATATTTTTTATCAAGAAAACACTAACCCCCCCTTTTCTGTCTTCAGATTGCAGGCTTTATCAACGCCATTCACCCATTTTGTGGTGACACAGAGAACCTAACAGCCTTCCGCTTCTACGCCCTCAACCCCATCGTGGATCCATGGGTCTTCATCATTTGCCGCAAGTCTGTGTTTCGCCACCTTTGCTCTCTGCTGAGTTGCAGCTTCAGCAAAGGAGCTGTGAAGACAACAGCACACTGCGCTCTGTCTTTACCCCTTGACAGTCACATACAGTGCAACCCGCCAGACAGGCCAGTTTCACAGACCAACATGTACTCTAATTTACCTCTGTGACCCAGAGGAAACCCTTGGCTGTGGAGGGTCAGGGACTGGAGGCCGGGGAGACTTTCGTGTCTGAAATACATTGGGGCAAAGTTGTGAAATGAAACTTTTAACAAAGAAGTATCAGACTTTGAGAAAGAAGTATCCGTCACAATGGAAATGTTCTGTAGATGGTCAATTTAAGTTTCTCTTGGAACTAACTTGATTGCAATTGGTCTCAAACTTCCACTGACTGATGGAAATGTTTAAAGTTGCAGGGAGGGTTATGCCACAAAGCAAAAAGCACTGTAACTAAGCACTAAGGAACACATCAATCCACATCAAGCCTATGGATAATATACTTCTACTCAATACATATATGCACTATGGTAAAGCTATATGGGTAAACAATATGCATGAATGTATACTGTCTTCTTTTTTCCTTCAATCAGTCGGCCTTTTCTTTAAGACACAGCCAGGTGACTCTTGGATAAACTGTCCACAGCATCTTGACACTGTTGACATGAAGATATTATTTCAATACCTGTCACCGCTGGGGTTGATTACATGTTTATCCATTTCACGTGACCAGTTATAATGTGAGTGTGATCTAAAAGAGACACACATACAGTACCAGTTAAAAGTTTGGACACGTTGTCCGTGTGTCTAAACTTTTGACTGGTACTGTATTTTGTAAGGACGAGTTATCATTATACTGTCACGTGTAGCCACTGATATTTTCATATTTGTGATATGTGTGTACAACAAGAATTAGCATAAATTAAACCATTAACGGGCCTTAATGCAGAATGATCAACCACTAAAACTAACTCTACAGCAATGCTAGAGGTCCTTTAACGCTTTCACTTTGGCACAGCGGTACTTTGAGCTAAATGCCAATGTTATCATGCTAACATGCTTGTGTTTAGCATGTACAGTATTAACAATGATCACCATCTTACTTTTGTGTGTTTGTTTGCTAACATTTGCTAATTAGTACTAAAAGAGTAGAGCCGAAGCTGATGGGAATGTCAGTAGTTTTAGGTATGAGGTATCATAAACCAGAGAAATGAATGCATTGAGATTTTGACCTTGTGATGGTGTTAAATGAAAAGTAAAGGGGCTATCAAAGTGAACAGCTCATACAGTAGATCACTATAGAGCACTGCACCAAATTTCATGGCAATCCATTTAATTGTTGTCGAGGCATTTCACTCAAAACCAAGAATGGTATTAACGAAGAGTCAAGGGGTCACCAAGAGTCAGTAATAAGCTTCATCCTCCCTGGAATATGAATGTCTGTGCATTCAATGTCATTCTGTGGCCACTGATCAGTCTCGACCAAAGTGGTAGGCTATAAAGTCTCTAAAGTGACACCGCTAGTGTATCTAAAAACAAGAATGTAGATTTTCAAGTTAGAATAATTACTTCTTGACCACAGAGTGCAAGTCTGGGTTCCAGCTGTGTTGCTTTTACATTGTTCCTGTGAAAATAGCCTCTCAGTAAGTCTTTCAGTCTGACACATAGTGCTGGTTCGTGTTTTGTTGAAACAGAGCAAATAATCAACATGTTTCCTGACAGAAAGCATTAACATTTTACCACCCACAGTCCTATGTGCAGGACAAACTGCCACCACTATGAAAAGTTGCATGGATATGAACATTTAATTTATGAGAGATAAGAATCACATCTTTTCAAGTTGTTGTCGGTTCAAAAAGGAACAACCTGTCATAGAAATGATGAAAGCACTCTGGCCAGTCCAAAAATGCAGTAAATTAAAAGTAAAAATTGGTCATTTATTTTGATTTAGGCTTAGGTTAAAGGTTTAACTTCTGAAGTTCAAGTCTAATCCTCTGTCGAGAAACCAGATCAGTCAATCCGAAACTTAAAGCCACTTAAGTCTCAAGGCTCAATTTATGTTCCTGTCCAGCCCATAATATAAATGTATTGCATGAACATTGGATTCCACCTCACTGATTTCTAAGCTACCTATTATAAATGTCTGTGAATGTTCTTTTAAGAGCCTCTTGCTTTTGAAAAAAGAACTGCTGCTTCAAAATGCACTGTGATAATTAATCTTTTGTTGTTGTTGTTGTTGTGACTTTAATGCTGTAGCTGCATTTAAATGTAGTGTATTTATGCCCTTACACTGTGCTATGATGTTGTGTATGATTGTGTTGGTTTGGTGTATACGGTGCAGAGACACAGGGATATCAGATGGAGTTCAGGTTTTCTGGCTGTGTTGCACATTTTTCTGCACATTTTTCCCTGTTTAGTCTTTAATGCTCTGTCACACGAGCCATCGAAAGTCAGACACATTACCATTTGCACATTTTGTTCTTTGAGGGTATAATTATTTGACTCTGAATAAAATAGTACATTTTTGAAAAAAATAGTACGGTACACAGTTTGTTCATGTGAAATAAAATATTAACAAAAGAAACTAGAATTACCGGCTTGCAGTTGTATGCCTCCGCAAACCAGTTAAGTAACAATTTACATTCATGTCTTTCCAGACTCATATAATACTGTATATGTAGTTAAGGCTTTGACGGAATTTAATAAAAGGTATTACATCAAATTGACTTGAATTAAGATTAGAGTTAAATTTACTCAATTAAAATAATTAAATTGAATTATTTTCTCAATTAAATTAGGTTGATGTAAATGAATTTAACTATAAATTTAATTTCCTTTAAATTAACTCAACTTAATTTAATTGAGAAAATTTTATTCAATTGAATCAATATAATTGAGTAAAGCTAATTCAATTCAAATACTTGATGAGTAATCCAGAACAATAAAGTTCTGGATTACAACATGATTATATTGTTGAATTTACTAGATTTAAATATTTTTGTTTTAACACCCTTAACCAATCATAAGTCATGGTGCAGCCTGATGACAGCAGACTGGTGGTTTGAATTATGTGTGGTTTGGTAGCACAAAACATACAGGTTCTTTAGAAGTGAGATAATGCTAATTTCTAAAATGTGACATGTTTCAAATAGTAACATGATTCACTGTAAGTAAATGTTAACAATGGCATAAATATTTATATTTGAAATTTCTGGTTTGTGTGGGAAATGAGGAGGGTTTATTCAAATAAAAATGACATGCAACATAAACAATACTAAATTCAGGAGATGAATGACAGCTTATCCGGTAAACAGTCTCATTCTTATGTATTAATATTGGTTTGCGATCTTTAGAAACTCAATTATAAATATATAATAATAAATATAAAAGTTACAGTCAGTGCAGCAGAGCAGTGACCAATACTGTAGCACCACTATGTGGTTAACCAGTGCACACAAGTGAACATTTATTTCTAAGTCATACAGGCATTTACTCTTCTGAAATAGTATAACAGTACATAAATGGCAAGAAAGATTAAGATAATATGCTGTGAACCACTGCCAAGCTTCATTTGCTTCCCAGATTTGAATCAACAAAGAGGTTTGAAAAAGATAAGAATTCACATACAGGAGTAATTAGTATGTGGTCCACAATGTGGTCAGTAGCTCATACAAGTGATGAGTAATTGCAAAACCACTGAAGTGGGGTTTCACTTTGTTTATAACACAGCTTTTCCATGGAGAGTAATAGTTAACCTCTGGAGTTCAGACTTTGCGTCTGACTTTTGCACTTTTAATTAAGTAGGATTTTTCATGCAGGACTTTTATTTGTACGTATTTTTAGCCTGCTGTACTGGTACTTTTACATAAGTAAAGTATCTGAATACTTGTTCCACCACTGCCTACAAGTCTTTGTGACTGTCATTTTGTCAATGCAACAAAGGATAAAGCTGCTTGGAACCCAAAATACTATAAAAATGTACAAATATTTAGTTATAAATCACAAATAACGCTACAGAAAAAAATTCAACTGGTTTCCTCATCATATCTCTACCTGATATATAAAGTTATGTTAATGCTATGTTACCAGAAATAAACCATGCTCAGTGTTTTCCCCTAAACAGACTCCAGAAGGTTAAAGGGAATATATCCTGACAACAAATGATGCCACACACAACACAAATTCATCGTTTTATTTTTAGTGACATCTGAGCGTATACAGATCAGAACTTTAAAAAAAACACGTGTCAGATACTTGTCATTCTGAAACCCCAGCACCTAAATCTCCACACAACTGACAACAGAGAAGCTCTACGAGTAGCTTCCTGCCTCAAACAGTTTGATGACGATGGCTTCGTGGGGCCGCAGTTCCAGTGTGTACAGAGATGTCGAACCGAGGCGATCCATTCCTGTGCTGGCCACAAACACTCCAGCCTCGGGCAGGCTCGGGGCCCAGGCAGGATCCAGAGTGTGAAGTTCAGGCCCAACATTGAGCAGAACAAGGAAGTGGACACAACCCCAGGAGCGCAGGAAGGCCAGGATCGTGGGAGGTGCAGGAGAAGCAAGAGTGGAGTTGGAGATGGAAGAAGAGGAGGAGTTGGCTGAGGTGTTGAAGGGGAGGAAGGTGAAGCTGCCGTACAGAAGAGCTTCTTCTCTGGCTCTGGAGTGACTGAGGGAGGTGAAGAGAGCTACAGTTGAACGCTTCACCTTCTTGTCCTGAGAGAGAGGGATTATAGAGAAAGAAAAGTGTCATAGTTAAATATCACCTACCCAACTAATACTTGGTTTCTTTATCAACAGCTTTATATGATAAAGAGGCAGCAGACAGGACAACCAGCTTTATCACTCACTGTATTGGCGTCTGATGGTTCATTCTTCTCTCCATGAGACGAGCCAACATTCAGAGACACATTCTATATGGCAGAAAGCTTTTATTTGGCAACTTATAAAATGGTTAAATTATGAACTCAAAGTCTCAAACAGGGTTTTATTTTTTTTAAACCTGTGTTTGGTCGAAGTCCTCATCATGCTGGACTGCAGGTGATCCTGGCAGAGTCATCATCAACACCAGGAGTAATTTCTTCAAGTCAGGAGACGCTTTGCCTCCAACCTGCAGAAACACATTGCAGTTGTATAATGACATCCTACCTAAACCAAATGGCAATTCAATTATACTCAAGATTACTTACGCCATTCAGTAAAGTTGATATGACATCACTAATGCTTCAATGCAGTTATAGACCTAGTGTTCAAGTTTCTGTAATGTGAGACGTACAACTGTAAACTGTTGCTATTCTTTGTCATATAGTTTGTTGGTGAATTGAATATCTGTAGACTGTTAATGGGACAAAACAATAAATTTTTCCAAGAAAATAATCATGATTGATTGATGAAAGTAACAGTTATTTGCAGCCCGACATTCAGTACATTTAACTTCTGCATGCTTTACGTCGAGTAAATCCGTGCTAAATCTCCCATCTGTGTTGCTGTTGAGCTGTATCGAATTATACAAAGAGGTGTGTCTGTTGTTTAGCCTGCCATCACTGATTTGAATGGGGGTGAACAAAATAAAAGTAACACCTGCCAACATAAACGCAATGCAGTTCAACACCCCCACAACCTACACCCTCCAAGATGATCACACAGTTCAATCAACGCCTCTTTAACACAGATTCAACTAGAACAACAACACTGAAACCTTCATGAAGGTAGGATGTAATGCAGGACTGTTGTATTAGACTCAAGTAGTTTTGACTAAGTGTTCCTACTAAACTGCCATCTGAGTGTATATATGCACATGTCTTACTGTCCAACTGGGCCATATCTCATCTTCTCTTGTCTGCAAGTGTGTCTCTATAGCATCTGCAACTTCCTGGGCAGACAGGAGGTGATGCGAAGATGGCAGAATTGACCTCATGACCACATCCACCAGTGTCTTGTTAATCTGGCTGGAGTTGTTCAGAGGACGTGGGACTTCTTGCGTTTGTTTCACCACCACAATCCTGAAGAGAGACGAGGGTGTGCAGTTTCCAATTACTCCGTAGCTTCATTTTATGTTAGAAAAACAAACATCTATCCACATCTGCACATGCAGTACCTTTCCTCCTCCTGACTGCTGAATTCCCTGAAGACGTCTCTCCACTCCAGCAGAGTCTGAAATATAAATACTTTATTGGAACCACTGCTTATAAAGAAAATTTATAACATTAATGAGTATCATTTACCTTTTCTGAATATGCTGCATCTGTATCACAGATTGCAAAACCCGCCACACCCTGCTCCAACCAGAACCGCAAGGTATGCTGTGGAAATGGTAGTAATGTTTTAAGGAATCCAGCATCACCGAGAACTTAAGACGTTTAGTAGCATGACCAGAGGTTTCACCTGCAGTGTGGCTGATGATGGCTCGTTTCCTGCTACGTCTAGATCCACTTCACAGAAGTCCAACACCACTTTGAGACCTGCAGCACCAGTGAAAAGGTTCATTAATCATCAAACCATGTAGGAAAAAAGTCTTCTATCTAGCTATGCGGGATGTCTTTCACTCACCTGCTTTGTTGCTCTCTGTGAGCAGATGTTGGATCTGAGGCAACGTCCCCAAGCTTTCACCAGTCGCAGTGAGGTTTGAAGGAGACACGTCTTTAACAAACAGACCCTCCAGGATCAGAGCCCCTATACCCAGGGACCTGAGGTAGGGAAGCTGCTCACACAGCACTTGAGAGATTAAAACATGAAACTGATTTAGTCATATTTCATCTGTCACTGTTCAATTTCCTTCTCTCCCCTCCTTTTTTTGTATGTTTTTGTCTCAATACACTTTGTAGTTACCATTTGTGTTTGGTGAAAATGGTATTTAGTACTTTGTGTATGTAGCAGATGGTCATAATACATGTAGTTTAGTTTTTAGGTTACTCATCTATATTACAAATCTGTTCTTTTACCTCTTCTAGTTGCTCAATTTCTCTGCGTGGGAACAAAGAATTGCCTTATCTTTTTTTTTTTTTTTTCTCTCAACGCAAACACAAGAAAACCTCTTAATCTCTTTTCTGAGTGTTTTGCAATCATGTGGTGGCCCACAGCTTTAAGCCTGTGATGTCCTGAGACAGTCTGTGTGGTAAGAGACATCAAGCAGTGATCTGCCCTGAGATAAAGGCCAGGTGCCAGTATGATGAAATTTGGACTGCAAAAAGGCAATCTTACAGTAATCAAGAACCCCCATCTGGGTTTGAAAATTGATAGAATTTACATTTCAGTGAGACCAAATGTTGTCATACAGTGTGAACATAATGCTTTCATTAACAATCAAGAACTTGTGCGTCAACTAGTTTGTGTTTAACTGAAATGTGTTGATAGAAATTTCGTTTGGGAATGTCCAAGACTAAACCCACAGTATCGAATGAGAGTGGGTTCTACTTTATTACATTATGCTGAAGTCATGTCTTTATTATGCATTTTCCTAAAATTAATGTGTTGGATCAAAATACCACATAGCAAATCCGAAACTAGGTGTTATTCTAGAAAAACCTGTAGCACATTTCAAAGAGAGTGGGGAGAACAGGGAGTATTCTGGGGCCCAGCAGCTCTTATTTTTGGTCGATCTGACCCCTGATAAAATATTGAGGCTCATTAATGTCATCATACATATTCTCTTATGGCATGCCATGTTTATTGTGTGTCCTTAGCAGCACTATGAAGTTTGCCTTTTAATGTGCAAACATGGTAAAAGTAAACTTTGAACAAATGTGTGTCTCAGCCTATGAAGACTTTACAAAGATACTGTAGTGATAATGTCCTTGCCATGCCCCTAACTGACCACCAGGAGACAGTCAAACTGTGATTAAATGTGTTCTTCAACAAGAAATTTAGCTGCACATGGACTGCAACTGGAACAACACACAATGTACTTGGGGCTAAGGCAAAAAATAATATCTAAATGTTTTTTTTTTTTTTTTTAATGAAACCATTATTTATTTCCTCACCATTTATGCCCCCTGACCCCTCCGCCTCCATGAACAGGTCTGGCTGAAGCTGGTAGAACAGCGACTTCTGCCACCACTTGAGCGGGGTTACGACCGGCCGGGGGCTTATCGCAATGATGGCGATGGAGGTGGCGAGCATGGCCACCCAAGCCAGCCAGAACAGCAAGACCATGTAACAACGCACTCTCCTCCAGCCCGGACCCCCCGCCACGACTTCCAGCTGCTCCTTAGTCAACGGCTGCCACTGCTGAACCGGTTCCGGTTCAGGCTCCGGGATGAGCAGCGGCGCCGTCTCTGAGCCGCCCACACTGCCCGACAGCCCGGGGCCTGGCACGCTGCCGTACCCGGTGTCTCCTGCGTTCAGAGGCATCCTGTCCGTCTGCAGGTAAGTGATACGCGGTCAGATAATAGGGGTTTAATTTCAGTTTGTATAAACATGCACGCACCCAAGTTGTAGGAGGTGGGAGTGGGCCAACTGCTGGTGGGCTGAAGTTTTGTTAGGACTTGTTTGGTGTGTGTCCATACCGTTCTGCCCGTCTCCTCAGCGGCCTCCTTAACACTTTGTGCCATGTAAACCACAAGACGACTACAGATGCCAACACAAGTGCTGCAACAGTTAGCGTTTCTAGAGAAAAGTGCACACACACTCAGCAAGCAGCTCTGCCATGGCCAGCACCCTAAATTCCCCTGTTGCTACCTCTTTTCCACAGGTGTGTTTAAATTAATTAAATTTGACATATGCTACAGGTCAGGTGTCACTTGCGTCTGATTGGCCAATCCTGTTCACCCCCTCACCCAATTGGCCTTTTTTCAGTAGGACCAATAGGTTAAGGGACTGTAACTTTCTAAATAAGTTTTTCTTTCAGGCAGACTTATACAAAGAAAAATTCAACAGGAACTATGAAGGTTCATAAAATCCAGCTTTTGACTTCAATAACAAGAAGACCTAGACGGTCCCTTGCATTTTTTGAAGTAAAGTTTCTGTTAGATTCCATAAATAAAAATGAATCCATTCAATGATTTGCTTTCATACATGGGAAGTTTGAAAGACTAATATTCACCAAAACACAGAGCAATGATATAAACACACCTGCCACCAAGTTAGCACACAAATTCAAAAACGCTCTAGATGAAATTGGTTGAAGACAATCAAATGAGACCCTTAATTTATTTTTTCATGACAAAAATCAGGCTATAATATTACTTAAACTGGTAGATGAATGCAGCAGGACTTAATAGATCGTCATTAATCAGCGAAAAAGTTGTGTTTCCAATTTTCAAGATTCTCTTGCTATTGAATAATAGTGAAGATTACATGTGTCTTATTCTGCATGCTAAGATATTTGTTGAGTGTTTTCATATTCCTTGTAATTACATAACGATTACTTTTGTTTTATAAATTGTACCTTTTGGTCACATCTGCCTTGTAGATTTTGCCTTTTTTTAAGTCTACCACAATATGCTGCTGCTGTCCTGTCATTTTCAGTACATTTGGCTCATAAAACTCTATGGCATTACATAACAACGCCAAAAATGCATTCTCCAGTCTTACTGCAATTTTTTACAAGGTTTTCCCCTGACAGCAGTTGTTGGTTATGGGCCCTCTGGTGGTCACTTAGCACTAAACAGCTAATAGGTTGGTGATGCTGAGAGTTAGCTCTATACAACATGTCTCTGGACTGAGGGAGGAAACCAAAGGGAACACAGACAAACTCAACACAAGTCTCCAGTTAGTTCAAACCAGGATCATCCTGCATTGAGGCAGAACTAATTCAAATCTGTTATCGTGCTTTTTATCTATTCACAATCTAAGTCATTACTCACATTTTCAGTCTGAGGTTTCTTGCCTTCCTCTCTGGCCCCTTTTTTTTTTTCTTCTTTTCCACTCTCTACTTCCTCTTTAACTTTGTCCACCAGTGTTTCCGCAGAGCAGTGCCATCCTCAGTTGAATATTTGAGTGATCCGACTTGTGAGGAGTGAGGAGGTGAGAAGGACACTGTCCAATGAAAGCTCTGCTCAGCCAATTAATACAGAGGTGCCGAGCCTCACCACACCCTCGCAACACATTCTGAAGAACCCATGACTGCCAATGAGAGCCCCCTAAAGTCCCTCATGTGGTAGTTTTGACTTTGACTTGAATGATCTTGTTTTGTTTTTGATACTGAAGAAGTAAGGAATATGTGTTTTTTAGAGAATTTATATCTATGTCCTGTTGTGGTCTCAGTCTCTGTTTCTGAATGGTGTACACCCTTTGGCTGGTTGGTCTGAATGGAAGGCAGACTTGTACACTCAAATGTAGATATGTAAATGTAAAGCCAGCCTTTAAATTTCAAGGCACAGTCATACAATGATAGATTGAGACTTTGATCTGTTGTCACATTTCAAGCAAAGTCAATAGCCCAGCTTATTTTTCTTTTCTGTGTGTGGAAAAACAAGAAATCAGCTGAATAAAGAGCTGCAATCACTGGCTGAAAATAAATGTGCAAGTAATTTGATGAATAATTTTAGTAAGTGTTCAAGAAATGCCGAACATTTCCAGCTCCCTTAAACTTGAGAATGTGCTGTTTTCTTCTTTTGTATGGTCTGATAACTAAACACAATTGTAAAATGGACTATTGGTTTGACAGAACATGTGAAAATGTCACATTGTGTAGACAAAATGAATCAGCCCTAAACCATTGTAAATCTCAACAACTCATGTTAAAAATAAGTGGCTCTAAATATCACTAACATAAAGTTGTTAAATGAAAGATTTATGAGAAACACTTGTCACAGCATAAATGAATAAACAGCTTTATTTTATAGTATCTATCTATAATTTTAGATTGATAATAACGGGATCAACTATCGATGAGCTTTAGCAGGCTGTACAGATGCGTTGACTATAAAATCGCCTGCAGGAGAACAACTTTTGAATCGCATGGTGATGTAACACATCACACATCTGCTCTAAAGAGCCACAGGGTGCGTGTTTAATGAGGTCTGTCTGCTAATTCCTGGGAATATCTCATCCTTTTCCCCCAGCACGGCCCCCTCTCTATCTCTTTCTTCAACCCTCTCTGCATTCTTTATCCTTTTGTGTCTCTCCCTCTGGCTTTCCTCTCTTATGGCACACGTTTATGTTCTTGCTATAACATGTCATTGCTATCCACATAACCTTTGCTCCTTGACAGCATTGTGCAAACTAATTATTTACAGAGGGACCCTGCATTCCATCATGAGACTCTGATACACATGCAGCCCACGTGTGGAGCACATAAAGTAAGTCCAAGTTGTTTTTGTGTTTTTTTTATTTTTTTTTTATTTGAAGAATGCAATGTTATTTTGGTTTTTGCAGGATGTATTGCTTGAGAATGAGGAGTGTCAGCTCATTTGTTTTCCATATGTACAGTTTGTATACAGTATTACACAGAATTGTAAATGAGCTGCCATATACAGAAGCCTCTAGCGTGTAGTAAATATCTATCAGTTTCCCTCCAGGCGCTGTATGGATAAATATTATGAAGAACTCTTGGTCAGTAACAAATGATTTTAGAAAATATATTCCCAATATTAAAAAAAAAAAACAAAAAAAACACAGCAAGTATTTCATTTATTATAATTTCATTTTAATTGACCAGACAAAAAATGCTCAAAGAGAACATAGTACATAAAGAATCAGTCATTAGTGCTCATCTAAAATGTAAATGCGGTTTAAGCTTGTGGCCATGGAGACAGTGAAGCTGGTGGTGGGTCTGTTTCCATGGTAATAGCTTTAGTTTGAGTCCTCCTCCGATCCTTCAATGTCCTGAAATGTCACAAGACAAGATGTGATATTACTATCATGGAAGTTTCTGCATTTTGTTCATATAACTTAATTTTACAGGCAGATCAAGCTTACAGGAAGTAGACTACTTTCCAAAGATTATAAATTTAACAAAGATGCCTGACATTTCCTCAGATGTATGTATTTGCTGTTTTGCTTTGCTTTGCTTTGATGGATTTTGAGCAAACCAAGCAATTTGAGGACATCATATTGGTCTACATTTTTCACATTTTATAGGCAAAACATAATGTGTGCAACATAATCAATTTACTGACATAGACAACTACAACCTTACAGGCTCAATTTTTCTTAAAAAATTACCTGAGCAATTAATCAATGATCGGAAGTGTTGCCTCCACCAGGGAGGCTATGTTTTTACCTGTGTCTCTTTATTTATCAGAAGGATTAGACAAAAAATACTAAACCGATTTGCACTGAACTTGGTGGAGAGATGGGACATGGACCAGGGAAGAATCCATTAAATTTTGGGGGAGATCTGTAACATTTACTATGAATTTAATTTTTTTTCTGTGAAGTCTGGTGTATGTTGTTTGACATTGGTCTTGGCAGAGGTCTGAGCTCTCTAGTTTCAATTTTATTTTCTGTCAATCAACTATTGACTCTTTTTTGCTATAACAATAATTGATTAATTGATTAGTCAAGAAATTAATCAGAAGATAAATCACTAATAAAACTAATAGTAAGTCGCAACCATACTTTTGTGTGACTTTAAATGTCAGGGGTCATGACTTATGGTCAATTTCAAGATATATTCATCACTCAAAAACTGTTTGTGTAAATGAGGCATATTAGTTTTATTAATTTATGAATTTGTTGTAAATGACGGCATCTAACAACATGTTTATTGAATGAAATGTGTCTCATGTGTCTTACCATAGGTTCCTGACTTCTAAGAGCCATAACATGTTTCTGATATGCAGAGATAATGCAGTCTCGCCTGCAAAGAGAGAAACAGTGGTAGCACATTAAAAAGATTTCTATTTTGATTCCACAAAACTGATTCCACCGTAAACATATCTGTGTATTTTGGGGGTTAATTGTTCAGACTCACTTGCTGGTGATGCCTCCTCCCGGTGGAAGTCCTGGCATCTCTTCTGCAGCCAGGAATTTGATCACATAAAGAAGGTCAGGGTCCTCATCTCGGGACCTCATCATCTGGATAATTTCTGTTAGGGGAGACAGTCAAAAATATGTGGTAATAAATTAGGGAGATGACATTTACCCAAAGATCAGTGCGTTTTGTGGTGTGGGATTTAAGTCTTAAATCAACTCACCTTCCACTTTCACATCAATCTGTTGCTCCAGCTCCGCCTCCTGCTGCAGTGCCTCTTGTGACACCCGGGGGGCGCCGGGGAAGCAGACAATGATGATGCTGATGTTGTCCAAGCTGCCCTGAAGAGGGAGACAGAGCACAGCATTATCAGACAAGTTTGATGGAAAGAACTGAGGCTTCAGTTTTAATTCCACAGTGGTGGAATGTAACTTGAGTTTTACTCAAGTACTTACTCAAGTAAGTACTTTACTCAAGTAAAATTTGAGGTTCTTCTTCTTCACGTGAGTATTTCTATTTTATGCTACTTTATACCTTTACCTCACTACACCTCAGAGGGAAATATTGTACTTTTTAATTCACTACACATATTTAACAGCTATTGTTTCTGATTAATTAGCTGAAAGAAACCTATAACGAGCATGTTTAATTATGTATATAATTGCATGTGATTATGTATATTTAACTAAGTAA